AATACTCATGTCATTAGACATATTGATGATGTTTTCTAACATTAGGTCAACAATAGATAGTAGAGATGAGACTTTCAGATCTCCTTAGTGGTCCCAATGAGTCAGTTTCGGTCAGTACCGTTCAACTGATCTGGTAGGTCAGTTGTTTCAGTTGGTTCGTTAGTTCACCAGGTTAGTTTAGAGCGTTCACGTACAGACGGACACTTGAGCTTGTCATACGCTTGTGTCAGTCATCCCTGGTTTTTGTGAAAACTTGTGATTTGATAGAGTGAAACACTGGCAGGATTTTGGTTAGTAAAAATGAAAATGATGAAAAATACACTTTAAAAAAACTAAAATATATCGACATGTTTAGTATTAATTATTATAGGCTATATTTTGTTCATATTTTTGTACCAAATTAAAAAAGTCCTACTCATTGATATTATTCTTGTGCTTGGGAATTACGTAGGATTTTAATCTTCGTGTAAATTATTTACTCTGTGATTAAGACATTTTGTACATTGATTTAATTAAAAACACAGATAGTTGGTGTTCAGTTCATCGTATCTCAATTGCTAAGACACCAAGTGCTCCAATTTTTTGTAAATATTTTACAATTTAATTAATTTTTATACAGTCCACTCACAAATTTCGAAGTGCCTTTTTAATTACCAATTTACCACAAAACAGTTGGTAATTCTGAGCAATTACTTGGTCAACCCCAATTTTTTTCATACTTTACTACGGTCATCAGGATGTTCTTAGAAAACAAGAAATATATAATTAAGCCCCGCAAGGTTAAGTTAGGTTAGGTTAGGTTAAGTTAGGTTATGAATTAACCTAACCTAACCTAACCAAACATAACGGTACTGTCGCAATTGGCTTTAGAGATGTATGTGAAACTAAAAAAAAAAAACATAATTCAGCCCCGGAAAGTTAATATATGTTATATACAAATAGAAATTACCTCAGTAATCGCCGGGTTCTTCGTCCTCATCCGACATCCGAGTCAGCTGCAACTGGATCAGTGTTCTGTTGCGAAGGTTCCCCGTTGTAAACTTCACCGATAGCCCAAAACAAATGGTGTGGACTCGATTATATTCCAACAGTTAAACATGTGTTTTTCTTCATTTAACGTCATCGACCCGCCACATTGTGGACACACTTTGGTACGTTGCAAAACGCTGTGTTCGTACAAAAAACGTGTTCACTTTTCCTGATCTTCACTTAAAACCGTGAAACTAAGTAACGTGTTTCACCCGTCACATAAAAAAGGATTATCGGAGGAACCACTAGCCATAGCCATAACGGTACTGTCACAACTGGCCTTCCGCGCGTCTCCCGCAAGCCACTGTTTTCGCTTGGAATTTGAAAGTTCTTATCACTCTGCAACCTGTACAATGGCCTTGCGGGGCTTAAATTACATGTTTCTTGTTTTATAAGAACATTCTGATGACCGTAGTAAAGTATGAAAAAAATGGGGTTGACCAAGTAATTGCTCAGAATTACCAGATAGTTTTTTGTTTGATACTTTTTTCTCAATGGAGTTGATATCAGAGTATGCTATATTAAAACAAACTCCTTTTGGTAGAGGCTTAAAGAAAAATGGTAGTACCTAATGCACAAACCAAACTAATTAGGTGCTTAACTTAAAACCAACGTTAGCATCTATGGTAAGAACATCAAATCTATCTTAGCCTATAAGATACATTCAATATTTGAAAAAAAACTACCCTAACATTGTTGGCTCATATGGATAACTTATAAATAATATCCAACTCAAGTACTATTAAGCTCATATATAATAGCCTGTGCGTGTGTTTGGTTACCTACAAACATTTTAACCCTTCCCGGACTATAGGCGGATATATCCGCTAGCATTTTGTGCATAGCGGACAGTAGGCGGATATATCCGCCTATCTATTGTGGCTCCGCGGACGGTAAGCGGATATATCCGCCGATTATTGTGACATCTATTGCTATAGCCTAGTTCATCTATATATATAATACGCTAAGCCGATTTTTGTAAACAGAACTCCTCCCTCATTTTTGGTCCGATTTTGATGATTAAAGTGTCAAAAAAATGGCCCTGATCTGTAGTTTTGCAAAGTGTTTTTGGTTTTTTGAAATCTTTATTAGTTTGAGCAGGATCTTCCATCAAAGTTGGGTTTTCTCCCATAGGATTAACATGGGGGATTCTAAATATTTAATTGGAAACTTTGTCTCCACTAATTTGAAAGAACGGCTGGGTGTAGAAACTTGGTAGAGGTGTCCAAAGAAAGGTCTTGGTCTGTAGATCATTTATCAAAAGAAAAACGAAGTAAATTCCTTTAGGGCTCTGCCCCAGAAGCCGTTAAAGATCCCTCCACAGATTTGTTTACATTTTGCCCATGTGGATAATACTTTTTAATGAAACAGCTGTTCATTTTTAAATTGTAATCCAAACAACACACATTTTTTGGGAGTTACTGAATTGTCCAAAATAAGTATTTGCAATGTTATTTTCAGATTTTAAAATTGATTTTCGTCTGTATCATGTCATGTTTTGCATTATAACGTTCCACTACGATATCAGTGGAAAATCCGTTTAAATTATTTCTTATTCAACTATCTTATATCCATTTTACGGGTTGGTGTCTGCCTTTTTCACCACTTTTGCCTATATTTTATCATATTATTCTAGACAGATTGTCATAGGTTCATGAGATTATTGTCATACATGTTACAAACATTTCAAAATATTTGTGTAGAAATCTGTGTTACGTCAATATTTACCTAACAGCCAATTAACATTTTTTGCTTTTTGGAAAAGCCAAATTGCTATGTTATTTACATTATTTGCTGCCAATGAAGCCGCACGACCATATAAACGAGGAGGCCCCAGTTCAAGAATAAAAGCCAACTTCACTTCAAGTATATTCCATTACACCTAACATTCCGTAGAGAGATTATATTGACAACTTTATGTAGGTGATTGATAAGGCTGAGACAACTAACTGACATCCCCCCTGTCAATGAATTATATTTTTTAACAGTAATCTCACAACCAATTTCTCAAAACTATGATAGAGGGTTGTTCGTTGGCACAAAAGTACGATATGAACTGACCCGACGTGACGAAGGAAAAATCAAACTTACACTGTAACGGATATACCTCCCTTTGAAGTTAGAACGTGTCTTCCCAACAAACAGATTTTTTTTTCAAATAAAATCGTAGATTAATCTGCATTACACTGATGAAATCGCGGAAGTGTTTAACTACAAAAGATCCACCAATACGATTTTAATACTATTTAAAGGTGGTATGGGAAATATTGTATTCGTTGAATGATCAACCATTTTTGGTAACTAACGCAATTAATGTCATTATTGTTTTTACACTAATTACTCTTTAAACAAAAACAATGCTAAGTGCTCAAAATATGTATAATTTCACTCAATTTATCGCAGTTAGATGAATTAGCGTAAGCCTTGAAAGTAACCGTCGATTTCGACGGGTTTCACCTAGTTATATGTATAACAACATTGATCTTTGTAAAAATGTCCTTTTGTTCAAATTATATCTTTAACCGATGTACAAGGAATGTTTTACTAGAAAATAAGAAACTTAATTTAAACAATTTTTAAAAATGTGAAAAAAATTAAAAAAGGATAAAAAAATTATTTTGGGCAAAAGTAATGCATAGGTTAACTATTTTCAACATTCCATAAATTATAGATAGAAAAAATATAGTTTTTAGTTTCTATCCAAATATAATAATTTTGCTGTCTGTTTAGATACTATAGGCCTTCCGGGAAGGGTTAAATCATACTTTACACATTTAAGAGGTGAAATATGCACTCATTGTTTAAAATCTAGTTGTTAACTTAAAAATAAAATTGTGGAGACTATGAACGGCTTAAACATTTACGCCAAGTTTCATTCGCTTCCGTTTTTATGTGGACGAGGTTCCAATTTAATCACATATCGAATACTCATTTATCTTCAACATTATAACTATTGGGTCAGTTGGTTCTTCACTCCTCAGTAAGTTCTAGTTATCTTGGTCTCCGGATCTTGTCGAAAAAATTGAGTAAAATGGCAGGCAGGAATGGATCTTTTGGGTCGGACTGATTGGAACCAGATCCCTTATTTACTTTTACTGAATCAAACAGGGCTTGATAAAACAACCTACCTTGAATACATAGTAACAGGTTCAGGATTTGAAAACATTTCCTTAAACATCCCACAAATCTTTAAGTTACGGTATATTATGAGAACAGTTTTAATATTGAAAATACCAAACAGCTGATCAGGTAAGGTTTAATAATCTAAGGGAAATGGAGTTGGAATTTAAAAAAAATCAAATAAAAACAACTGTTAGTTTTGACAGACTTGGTGAGATAAGTCAGTCCACTGTGTGCCACTTTTAATTTTAATGAGGATTCTGACTATTGGTAAATCGAATATTCTAGGGGTATCAATGTTTGTCAAGAATAATTCAAATATGCTTTCTTCCTGTCACAGAAAAAAAAATACATGATCATATGACTAGATTTAGGTTTAAGTTAGATCAACCAAGATTTAGGTTAACAACATTTCTAAATTATGTCAATTTAAGTGTAAAACTTTACAGTTGTTGAATTTTAATTTTAGATTTCAAACATTCTGTGATTTTTTGGTGATATAATGTTGCTCAATTTGATGTTGCAAATCTATCAATGTAAATAATAAATGATGTTATGTTGTCTCTTGCAAATTGTGTAATTATGCTGAATGACAAATAAATGTCTTATTTTGTATTATTAGAATAAATAATAGAAGAATGAGTTTAGAGAAACAACTAAGACAAAATAAATGTTAATCTGTATCCTTCTCTTTTCTAAATTTTGGTTCTAGAATACAATGTATGTGATGAACAAAGCATTAAAGATATAAATTCTGTACCTCGCTTTTTTTACTACTTACATAACAGGTTAAGGGGAGTTATTGCAAAAATACATTTGATAACAGTAGTTCTGTTACATGTTCTGCTCAGGATCAAGTTAATCTCTAGAGGGAGAGTATTGAAGAATTCTGAGACATTGGCAGACCAAGGCATCAAGAATGGAACTCAAATAATGGCTGTAATACTGGCTGTTGACAACAATAAACTTAAGGTTAGTTTTTTTAACGAATTTCCCCACAGGGAAGTAGTTATTATTGTAGGTGGCACGTTAAGAGTTAGGCCCGGGACCGATATAGGCCTACTTTTTCATTTTGATGTGCCTTGAGACCAAAAACAGTATTCGTTCAAATTTATATACAAGGCATGTTTTTTTAAGTAAGTGCCGTATTTAAATTTCTCTGTTCCAGCGCTGCAATTAGCATTTTGGATATTTTCGCTGTGTATGTGCATTCTATTGGCAAACCTGCACCGGAAATTTGGCAACAATCGGTTGTGTTTATATCCGGTTTCGATCATTAAATATGGTGCCACCAATTAAGACTTCCGCCGACTGTGAAGTGCACGCTGTAATTAGATTTTTAAGTGCTAAAGGTCTGAAAGCAATTTAAATTCATCGACAGATTAGTGTATGGCGAGAACATAATGAGTGACGGAATGGTACGCAAGTGGATAAGGGCATTTAAAGACGGCAGCACCAATGTTCATGATGAGCTACCTGCTGGGCGGCCATCTGTCATTACTGATGAATTGGTTCGTAAAGTCGATGAAAAAGTGAGAGAGAACAGACGGTTTACGATCTCAACATTATCTGATGAGTTTGCTTTAGTTTCGAGTAGTGTCCTTAATGAGATTGTGACTGAAAAATTTAAGTAGGCCTACCGAAAATTGTGCTCACGCTGGGTGCCAAAAATTTTGACTGAGGTGCACAAAACCAAGCGTCTAGGCAGTGCATTGACTTTTCTTGACGGCTACAAGGAGAAAGGAGATGATTTGTTAGGTCAAATTGTTACAGGTGATGAAACATGGGTGTCTTATGTTACGCCATAATAAAAAAACAATCCATGGAATGGCAGCATATACATTCGCCAAAGAAACTGGAGTTTAAGAAAACAACGAATTTTGCCTCGTGGTGACACAATTAACTCAATATCATAATGTGTAATGTGTATCATAATGTATGAACCTGGGAAAAATTGCACCGAGTTATCCAAAACAAGCGGCGTGGAATGTTGTCCAATGGGGTCATTTTGCTGCACGACAATGCCCGTCCACATGTGGCTAATCGAACGCAAGAACTAATCGAATCTCAATTCGCTGGGAACAGCTTGACCACCCTCCATATAGTCCGGATCTAGCGCCCACTGACAACCACCTTTTCCCATATTTAAAGCAACATCTTGGTGGTCAGCGCCTAGACACCGATGATGAGGTCAAAACGGCAGTGACACTGGCAGTGGTTATCCAATCAGGCGGCAGAATTCTTTGAGAAAGAAATGCAAAAGTTTGTAGAACGATATGATAAATTCCTTCATATTGATGGAAACTATGTCAAAAAGTAGATTAAGATACTGGCTTTCAAATAAAAATATAATTATTACAATAAGTATACTGGGTTGTTTAAAACTTAAAACAGTACTTAAACATGCCTCGTATATCCTATAATCTAATACGAGCTATCTCTATTTGTCTGTAATATATATCTCGAAATCCAGTGGCAGGATTTTGACTAATTTTTGGAATTAGGGACTTATAGCCCTAAAAACGTGATTAGTGACAGCCACTACCTCAGGAAAATTCGCATTTCGCTACACAACTCATTTGAAAATTAAAAAATTTAACATTGGCCTTATGGGCTGCTAAGTACCTAAGTTGGTTGAACAAAATAACAAGAAAAAAGTAAACAAAAGAATTGTCACTACTCACATGTGTTTATAACAAGCTATCCACAGTGTACTAGCAAATCACAAAATATAGTAAAAAGAGAAAAGCATCAGTTGTATCTGATAACTGCTTCAGTATCTGATAACTGCTTCAGTATCCGAAAGTCAATGGTGTTACCCGACTGACAAGTTCATATGTTGTAGATATTGAGGTGTCCAACAGACACGGCCAACTATATTGAGCAAAGATAAGACTGAAGATTACTCGATATAGAGGAAAATAGTTCCGATCAAATACTGATAATTATTTTACATAGCCCTCTCCCACTAAAACTTAATCCCTAAAGGACTGAGGCGTTCTTGAATTAATTACATCTGAGGGGTTTAATTGGCATAAAATATTACCCTCTGCTAATTTCCAATAAAAAAAACAGCCAGAATCTAAATTTTTTTTAAAAGTAGTATCGAAAAAGTGAAAAATTGTTGTCACAAGCTATTTTGAAACTAATGTGATTTTGTTTAATCATATTTTTATCTGCTCGTAAAAGTCGAACAACAGGTTTTAATGACTAGAGGGGGGAAAAATTCTGTACGAGTAGCACTTAAACATAAGCAAGATTCAAGGTACGTTCTGAAAGTAAGTTCCTGTAAACTTATGGTTTGGTTTTTAAACGTTTAAACTTGACGTTAAAAGTTAAAAATAAAAATGACACCTAAAGTGGATTAGCTCAGTAAACTCGCTTGGCAAATAGTGAGAATACTCAGAAAACTAATTGAACTGACACACTGTATGAGTTACTAAATTGTATTGCACTACTAACTCTAATCTACAAACCCTTTACGAAACACAAATATATATATAGGATGTTTCAGAATTCGTGTCGGACATTTTAGGGTATTGTTCCTGGGTTAGAAACAAATCCAAATATCATATTTAAATTTACCGGAAGTCCTTAGTTACTCACACAGCCGCCATTTGGTTTTTTTCGCTTATTAATTGTTTCCTAAAAATGGTAAGAGATACGGAATTGAAACTTTGCTAAAACATTTATGACAACATGTTGTTGATTCAAGAACGGGCAAACAGCTAGTCCGTATATAAATTCCAAAGTAACCATGAACTTTTGATGTTTAAAATGTTTGTCATGACGAGAAACCTTGTGCAAAACTATCCATTATTTCATAAATTTTGCCCTTTAAGGTCATAATACCTTTCTAAAGGGAACTTTCCATACACCTTTAATGTTAAAAATACCTCAGCTGTACTTATTGGTTTGTTATTCTTTCAATTTATTACCTTATTAAAATCAGGTCTGATTATTTGTTTGTATTACTGTATTCTGTTTTGTTTATTTCAGCTTAACTTAACCAACCAAGAGTTTTATTAATACTTATGAAGTCAAACGGGGTGAAGCCCATGGGTAACAGCTAATATCAATAAAATATCAATAATCTACCTCTTTGCCGTTTGGTCAAAGTTCATTTCACAAAACTTAAAAGGAGCAAATATGATCTTCTATGAAATCAATACACTTTTCAAACAAAGACTACAGTAGAACCTCTTTAATCCGAACTAATTGGGACCGGGGGTAGTTCCGATTATTGAATAGTTCTGATTACAGAACATATTGTTGTTTTTACATAACAATTGCTAGGGAAAAGTGAAAAATGCTTGTAAAATACAGTGTTTATTTAATACAGTAGTAAACATAGGGAATAAACAGTATGGTACATTACAATAGAAACAATTACGGTGCCTATACCAATAAATACAGTATACAATGAAGAACTACTGTTCTGTGTACGATCAATGAGGGGTTCAGATTAGTGGACGTTCGAATTACGGGGGTTCGGATTAAAGAGGTTCTACTGTATTAACATTTAGCAAACTACCAAAAAAACACGTTTGAAAATGAATTACTAAATGATAACTTACTTATATTAATTACAATATTATACAGGTTTAACCTTCAAGGCTTCTGTTGTTGTTTTTGTGTGACAGAAATTATTTATTTATTATTAAACCAAATTGTTTACTACTAAATATATTGTTTGTTTCCAAGAAATTATAAATTTGGTTATAAGCAATTTTTTCTAAAAATATTGGAAGAGAAGGTAAAAGTGATACAGGCCTATAATTGTCGGGATTATGCTGTTCACTTTTCTTAAAAAGTGGCTTGAGTTCTTCATATTTTAATATTTTAGGAAATATGTTTTTTTTTATGATTGGTTAATAATAATTGTGAGAGGTTCAGAAATAGAGTCTATAACTTTTTTAATGAGATCAACCGAAATTTCATCCCATCCCGCAGATATTTTATTTTTTAGTGATTTGATTACTTTGACTACTTTGAATCGAAATGAAATAGTTGTTTGTTAGTCATTAAGTTCCTTGTCATATTAAGTGCCTCAAATTCACATGGCGATGTTCCCATTTCCTTGGTTATATTGGTGAATTTTTTATTAAAGAGTTCAGCTATTTCTTTTACATCGATAATGGTTTTATTTCAGAGTTTAATATCAGGAAAACTATTCTTGACTTTTTTACAACCTAGCTCTGATTTAACAACACACCACGCAATTTAGTTTATAAATAAAATGACCGGTAGGAGTGAAACAATTTTAAGGCATTTTCAAAGAACCAACATTGTCTCTTGCATACTGACCCCGTTGCAAGGCAGGAGTACAGCCGCTAGTAATTAAAAAATATACAGTAAGTTCATAAGTTCAAATAAATAATATTCAAACATTGGTTTTCTTTCTTGTTATAATGTAACATTTTACTGTATTATTTTTTTTCTGAATGCCATTCATATATAGGCCTAATCAAATTTGTATATTTATCAATGGCTGTTTAACCTCATGTATATTTATGAATGGCTAAGTTAGATTTGTTCAACAGATATTTGAACTAAAATAATATATTTCATTATACCTGTAGGAGGATGAGAAACGTATCAAAACTTTGGAAAATACCAAGAAGGATGTTGAGCTTCTTGCAGGAAGGAGCAATAGTGCAAGCGGACATTACTTGCAGGTTAGTTGACCATTAGTTTTTTTTTTTAGTTTTGTTTAATCTAGTGCCTTATTATACAATCATTTCATAGTATGGCGTCAACCAAAGTGTAAGTGTTTAGAAACTGTATGTAAACTATGATTTGGAAACTACCACTAAATGTATCATAGTTAATTACTTTTTTTCCGCATTAATAATGGTTAATTACCCTTTGAACTAGTTGATTTGTTATAAATGTAAGCATGAATTTAACATGTAAATTGGTTAAATGTTTCAATAAGAAATGTGTATGTGAGTTCCATTTGGCATTACAGTTGTAGATGATTAATTCCAATAATTAACTTGAAAAACAAAACAAAAGAAACTTCTCATTAACTATGCTGTAAAGAGTTGATTATCCAAAACAATTGGGCATTTTGGTTGTTCAGATAACTTATTTTTCCGATTGTTGGTCATTGACAACAAAAATTGATTAGATACAATATTGAAATTTTGATTAATAACATCTATACACTTAATTCATTAAGGATTTTCTCTGTAACATCCATTTTTCAGCTGTTCTAATTTTTACGGTCGATGTGTCATTTTATAGATTATGATTTAATGGAGGGACAAACAGTAACTTAAAAGGTAATTCACTTCAAGACATTGCCCCCTTGTTTTTGATTTATTCATAGAGTCTGCTTTCAAAGATCTAGTGATGCAGACCAACTTTCTTTCCATCAGGTTAAATGTGAATTGTAATTTAACAGCTGATATTTTTCAGTTGAATTTTTAACCACAGTGAGATTGATAACAATACAATAACAAGAGTCGAAACAGTCATGATAGTGGTTTTTTTTTTATAACTGCAACCTCGGTAGGTAAATCATCCTTTATGGTGTGGATCTACAATCAGCAAATTTAATAAATTATAAATTAGTAGTTTTATTCACCTAATAACTTGAACAAACACAATCTTTGAAAGATAAAAGGGTACTGCATTGGATTCTTTTTTCCTTGGAAATATGTTTTGAACCCTAATAAAATGCTCATTCCACAGACGTTACCCCTAATTCATATTTATTTCATGCTTAAATTGTGCCCTCGATCGTAGCAACACCCATAAGCCTATCTTGCAGTCTCAGCGACACCGGTAATTTTCTCCTGCTAGCACGGAACACCCATGAGCATCAGTCACTCGTTCAACTTGTGATTTGCACAGACTTTAATTTAGATTATTTTATTTCTTTCTTCTTTTACTGTAGTTGAATGTAAGAGGATTATTTTAGTAACAATAAAAGTATTGATGAAATTAATAACAATTCATTAGTTGTAAATTTACAAATAAAATATACAAACAAATCTAACAGCCCACCCTCTCAGAGGCTATGTAACATTCTATGAACTACGATTGTTTGTGTACTCTACAATAGGCAATTTTGTATTCTTAGGAAGAAAAAAAATATGTTATAACATTTTCAGATTGAGAACCAATCTGGAGAAATAATGAACTTGCCATATCATGAACAGAAGGCCATAGTTACTGCCATGACTCTGCACGAAAAGGGACGTGCAGCTTTGAAGAAAAGGGACTTCTCACTCGCCTTGGTATTATTTCTAGAGGCTGACAAGAAGTACAGGTACATCACTAGAGTTAGTTTGTAAAGTTAGCTAATACAATGGCAGGTGCTATTTGTACCTAACAGTTAAAATTTACTTCAGATGATTTTTTTAACTAATTATAGTAAAAATGTACCTTGTCAAACAATTCTTGACATGTATAGTAGTGTCGAAATTTACTTGCTATGTGTTTTGAAAATTTATAATTCTCATACAGTATTATGATTGTAAAATATTTATCTATATCTTTTGAATAATAACAGTTATGCTGATGCAGTAAATTCATTTCAAATATAAAAAATAAGGTTTTTTTAAATTTCATTATATTGAATTTTAGCCTCCTGATCACATTTATATACTAAATAATTGGTGTAAATACATGCATTTATGTGATCAACTAATTGCTAAATTGAAACCGGTTTCAACTCACAAAGAATTCATCGTCGGGCCAGTACAGATGTCTTCTTGCTTCATTTGAAGGTTGTCAATTCATAATAAATAAATACATTTAACACGCATACGTACACGAATATAAAAACGAAGGTCAGTGATGATGTCGTGCCTGGATTTTCCGATCAGCTAATATCTTCATTCACAACTGTCCCTTGCGCTAGTATCTTGATTGCAGTGTCGTAAATGTAATTTGATTCAAATTACATTCTCTAATCAATTAATTAATTAATCTTGTTGTTGATGATGTTTTTGCTGTCAAATTTAATGGCCCTATAGATTTTGAATTCTTTCAAGGTGTTTCTATTGAATCGATCATTTGAGAGGTGTAGAATTTTCATGTTACCATCAATATTAGTGTAATAATGTAGTGTTTCTCACAACCACAATTACACTAATATTGATAGTAACATGAAAATCCTACACCTCCCAAATGACCGGTTCAATAGAAAGAAACACCTTGGAAGAATTTGAAATCTAAAGGGCCAATCAATTATTTAGTTTTTTTAATTGTTGGAATCCTTATATATATTAGGTGAAGGCCATTTCTACGAAACACTACTCCTCCGTTAATAATGGACGGATTTTTACAAACGATGTGCAATTTGTGTATTTATAATAAAAAGAGGAAAAGGTCGAGGTTTTGGTATAAAAGAGTATAATTTAATTAAGAGCAAAATGAATACGTGATGTTATGAGCGGTGATTCGATACGAATGAATGCAACAATGAAAATTGACATATGGTAATGTGATGGGAATTACAGATGGACTGTTAAAAACAAAGACACATAAAATTAATACAAAAAACAAAGGCAACTTGACTGAACATACCGCCCCCTTTGAACCAACAAGGTTCAACAAAAGAGAAATTGAAAAAATATAAAATGTTTATGAGAATAGACCAGAGTGGGTTGAAAAATTATTTAAAGAATGCAGCTTAATTGTATGAAGACACTTTGAATGATGGTCTTGAATGAGGATCAGCTGGTCTGTAGCTAGGAGGAGCTGGTGTGTTTTAGCAAACAGGGTCTACACATTGAGGTTTTCTTTCTTGAGGTTCCACTTGAAACAACGCTGATGAGGGGTCTTAAAATATTCTTGACTCCAACGGCAGCATAGACTTTGAGTGATGTCTTGAGGTATTTTATCAATAAGAGGTGAGATCTTTGTTGGGTCAGGAACAGTTGTCAGAGAAGATTTGATAAGAAAATGGCCAAGAGTTACAGCTGTCAGTTTAGAAGGTTTTGAATTTGCTATTGCTTCTTTTTGTTCTTGGTTGGAGTGATTTCTGTTATCAGCCATAGGCTTAGTAGGCTTCCAAAAATGAAGGAGTGTGTGATGAAGTTTCAAACAGGTCTTACAAGTATTAGTAGACTTGCAGCGTTTAGCAAAGTGATTACCAAGACAATTTGTGCAGTGTTTTAAGTCGCGGACAACTTTAAGTCTTTCTTGAGGGGTTTTACTATTAAAGACAGGGCAACTGTATATTTTGTGATTTTTATGGCAGAAAAAACATTTCAAATCATTTGAAGTACACATCAAAGCCATAGGAGGATGTTGAAACTGAAATGATTCATCAATTTGACGTGGAACTTGGTGAGGGTCGGATATTTGGAGAGGAGCTGCTTGCTGACTGTGACATAGAGATGCATCTTCACTGTTGTTACAAAAGTCTTAAGGAAATTTGATTATTTCACTTGCTTGAGGAAAATCAGAAGAATTTATGCGTTTTGATTCAAAAACTTGACAGAGGTTGGAGTTCATTTTTCGTAAGATCAACATACTTAATAGGTAGTTGTCTTCCATGACATTATAGTCAAGAACACTAAGAGCTTGTTCATTTTCATTGAACTCATTTAAAAATGATCTGAGGTTTTTGATATATTTGTCAGTTCTATTGGGCAAATCGACAATTTTACTGAGGTGGACAGAGATTAGCCTACGCTTCGAGTGGTATCTTTCCCGTAAAGCATTATAGGCTACTGTATAGTTGCCAGACGAGATCGGTAGGGATTTGATTAAGTGTAAGGCTTCGCCTTCAAGTGAACTTATCAAGTACTGGTGTTTTTCAACAAGGGATAAGCTACTATTGTTGTGGATAGTAGTATCAAAAAGGTTAATGTAGGATATCCATGTTTTAGTGTCACCATTGAAGGACTTCAGTTCTAGCTTAGGCAATTTTACAACGCTATGAGTAGGCCTAGAGGTTGGGTTTGATGTTACCGAGTTAATTGACAAGTGTTCATCATTAGAGTTCTGAATAAGAAGAGAAATTTTGGTTTGAATGTTAATTGATAGTTCTGTTATGTTGTTCTGGAGCTTTAAAATAGCTTCTTCATTGTCAGAAAAAACTTTAGTATCGTCATCAACGTCAAGAAGCTTATCTAGGTTAGATTCAAAATTGGCAGAAATGGTTTTAGCTTCGTGCAAATAAAGGTTAAGTTTAGCGGTTTGAGCTTCTGTTATTTCTGATGGACATGATTGAATATACTCACTGATCGTATTTAATTTATTTAATTGCAATTTGCATCTATTAGAAAATGTGGAAAATCTCATTTTGGAAATTAGGCCTAGATCGTTCAATGAGTTCAGTAAGTAGTCTAGATATTGTAAATGGATGGAGTAATTTGAGGATAAGGACGACTGAGGAATAAAATCAGGGTTTCTTTATTATTTTCATGTTGATATTGATTTATTTTGATAACTTACGATGAGATGCGGTGCGTTGTCTTCGAAGTACAAACAAACATAACCTTACTTCTCAATTTCTTGACGTTTGAAAGAAGTGAAGTTGTAGACGAAATGAAGTTGATGATGAATGCGAAGCGGAACTAGCAGAGCAATGACGATGTTGAACACTTGGAATGAGAAGAGTGTGGACTGTAGCGTGACGTAGACGTAAAGTTCAAAATGGCGATGCGGTGTCCTTGGCGGCTTCACGTTGGATGAAATACGTTCAACCGATATAATCCGCGGCTCGATAGGACCAAAAATGTGCGGTGTATTTATAATAAAAAGAGGAAAAGGTCGAGGTTTTGGTATAAAAGAGTATAATTTAATTAAGAGCAAAATGAATACGTTATGAGCGGTGATTCGATACGAATGAATGCAACAATGAAAATTGACATATGGCAATGTGATGGGAATTACAGATGGACTGTTTAAAACAAAGACACATAAAATTAATACAAAAAACAAAGGCAACTTGACTGAACAATGTGTCAAAATTAAGCATTTTTTGTGTAGACGCCCCCTTTCACCAATTCCTGTAATAAAAGTACTCGGGCTTTGCCCCACAGGCCATCAAAATCCCAATGTATTTCTTATGAAGAAAAGATTTTGTTTACTTAAACAGACGAATAGTTTGTATTAATTACAACTGTTTATAGTAAACACATGATACACCCAACAGCGTTCGTTTTCAGTTTCGATAACTGGAGTGGAGTGATTGATTACATTATCTTTAAGTTGACTATTTTAAGCCACCGGAAATTATAACTGTTATCTGTTTTGAAATAACGCCTGTAATAATTTGCAACTGCTCGGATTCGAGCAACAGGTGCACTAGTACTAATTATTTATTGCTTGAATATTTATTTTTATTCATACTGTATGACTTCTCAAATTTTTAGAAAGTGTTACCTTTTAATGATACAAAAAAGCTCAGCTCAATCAAAAATCTCATGCTCGCACACCTTTAAATACATTATGTTAAGTTTTAGCTTTGACTATTGATACAACTAGACATTCCATCCATCATGTTTGCCACTGACAGATTGTGCTGATCTAAATGTCTAGTTTCTGTCGAATACACAAACTTTTTTACTAAGTCAAACTAATGGAATGGCTTATTTTAAGCTGTATCAACTGTTTTGGCCCACCAACTCAGTCAGCAATAAAAATAAGGTAGTAAACAGAATTTTAGACACTATTGCATTTTATGACTGGATCTTTGACTGGAACTTATCACAACTAAGTTCTATTTTAATAAAAACTAGAGGTCGAAAACTCGACTAAAACTATGTAATGTACAGACTTCAAGGTTATCTTATAAAAAGATAGGGCATTTGCCAGGAATTATTAAGGTTCTACTTTTAATTTTGTGATGTTTTATGTGTCTCTATGGACTTATTTAAAGGTATTCCTTAATAATGTACAGACTTCTCTATTTTCACCCCACGTTGTAAATAAAATATGTGATAGGGATTTCTTTTGAAAGTGTCTTGAAAAAGGCATTTTGTATCAAGGACTGTAAAACAATTTTGCCTATGTGGCAACATGATGTGAATGCCGTCGTATCACGTTGTGTGGCTTGGGACTGAAAGTGTTTCCCATAGCAAAATCTGGATCCTAAGTTCATAAGTCCAATGTCTGAGCCACAAAACTCCCAAGGCATTTCTCTTACACACATTTAAAACTAAACTATCTATCAAATTTGGTATAATTACTAGATCTTGTTGATTAACTCTCATATTAGGCCTATAGAGACGGTTACGGTTTCTTCTTTCAACCCGGCCAGTCAATGTTCGCCATAGAGGCATTTCAGAATGATACTTGAAAGTCACTCAAGTTTATAATAAACAAATACAGTAAAATGATCGAGATTTCACTAAACAAAAAGTAAGTATATAATAATAATTATGTGATTGGAATTTCTTTCATTTGTTTTGATTTTCTGTTTATATTGCATTGTTATTTCGTCACCAGCATGACAACCCATAAGACCCATGTTAATTTTTTGAAATTTCTAATTCATTTTTGTGCTTATTTTTGAGCCTTTTTAAATTTATAAAGAGATTCTGCACATCTACAGGTAAATATCTTTCTAACAATATGCGTAGATTTTCTCTGTGATGCACATGAGTTGAGAAGAAAGGTTTTAAAAAAATATGCTTGCCTATTAATATACGGGGTGTCCCACGAAGGGGTTTAAACGTTTGATTTTATATTACGTACCCATTCATGCATCGAGCTTTTTTAAACTTTACACAGTTTAAGAAGTAGGATATAAAAATATTCTGGAAAAATTTCAAATCCCTAACCTTAGTAGAAACAAAATGGCGGCATATTGAAAAACGATGCTTTAAAAACATTAAAGAAGGTATTTTTGGTTTTATAAAATATTTTTATTGTTACTTTCCGGGGCAATATGACTTAAATAAAAAAAACTAGAACATAGCCTAATGGAAAACCTTAATGTCCAAAATTATTCAAACTGTAACCCATCCACAGCAACACACTGATAACAGCGCGTAAAAATTATTTGTAAGCTCTTACAAAGAAACCCTGCGGTATCCGGAGAAGTTCCTCTTCTATTGATTGTTTTAGTTCCTCGTCATTATTGAAACTATGGGAATAAACTTGTTCCTTCAAGAAACCCCATAAAAAGATGTCGCAAACAGTTAAATCAGGTGACCAATCTAAAAAATCATTTCCACGACCAATCCAACGGCCATGAAGGTTGCCATTTAGTAATTGCGTGACAGGATTTGCGAAATGAAGCGGTGCACCATCTTGTTGAAAGATTGCTTGATAATTTCTGGTACCGTCAAATGGGGCAAGACCTGTTCATTTAAAACTCATTTTACAATCAAACAGCTGTTCTTCAACAATGAGCGTTAGAACCGCAAAGTAGTAAACAAATCAGATAATAAATCATGAAAGTTGTTTTTATAGAAAGCAAATTGGTAAATTTTTCAATATACCGCCATTTTGTTTCTTTGTAATATAAAATCAAACGCTTAAACCCCTTCGTGGGACACCCTATATAGATTGGCAACAGCTGTCCATATGGATAGGATGTCTAGTCTACTTCAGTGTTCCATAGTCATTAGTTTTAGTATTGCTAAATGCAATCATAAAAGTAAATGTAAAACCTTCCCTTTTATTTACTTGATTAAAAGTGTAAATGTAGCCTATTACAAATAGCTTGCAATTGGGTGGCTTACTGCAAACAAACTTCCATTACATAAACATAAGATCTTTGAAATTTAATGATGCAAAGTTTTGAGGGTGGATTTTATTTCAACCCATAAAAGAAATGTCTAGGGCATGGCATGGGCATAGGCAAGGCCACTCTAAAAAAAAGGCCGTAATGCTCGTCAAGCATGACTTCACGATAGAAGACGGCAATGACGTAATGTTTGCCGTTTGTGATCAGCTGTTTGTTTGAATCTTTCCTTGGAAAATAAATAAATAAATACCTACGTTATTGCCGTCTTCTATCGTGACGTCATGCTTGACGAGCATTGCGGCCTGTTTTTTGTGGGGCCTTGGCATAGGGTAGGGCATCCCTTTAACTTTGTTCTAAATACGATCATTTAATTCCAGTTGTGTAAGTGGTCAAAAAGTTATCTACTTAGAAATCATGTTAATAAAGAAGATAAATAACTAGATACTTGCATTTTAAAGTGAATGCACATCTGAATTGCTGAAATCTGTTGACAATTACGCACTACTGCATTTGGACATAGCGTGGTGCTACCTGTGTTTACGGAACCCAGCTCAGATACCAGACGCAGACCAAAGACTGAGCATGTGTGAACAAAACTTTCATCGTACCTATGGACCTAATCTTGAACGCCTCATCATCATAAAAGGAACCACAGGTATTTTTCCCATTGAATAAAGTAAATTGAAACTTATTACTGTACACAGCTGTTACACTTAATGATGTGGGTTGGGTAAATACCCAGTAAGTAGAGTACGTATCCCAGTCCTGGGTAAATACCAAAATAAAAAGTATTTATAAAAAGTATTAACACAAGCAGTGTTATGCATAGCTTATCAGATTTGTTTTGATAAAATAAGTAGAACATTATGAGAAAAATGGTAATTGGTTTGCTAGAGGGTATAATTATTAGTGATATGGTGAATTCCAAAACACTTGTAAAAAATATCCTATCTCAAAAAAATTAAGGGATTTATGATTGTTTATTGTGATGTGTCAATACCGAATCTCAAATCTCAAAACCACCAAAACTTATGTCAACTCTCGGTTTTGAGATCTATGTTTTTTTTTTATATGTGTTAATATGTTTGAAGTTAGAGTTAACTCATTCATGTTTTTGCAGTCAGTTTCAGGTGTTTGTTTATTTCTGTGTTTAAATTTGAACTATGAAGAGTTTTGAATCATCAAGAGGTTTGATTTATCAGGAGAAAAATAAACCATTCAAATTACATAGAGTTCGTATTGTCGTAATCAATTTATACACAATTTACCCTTGGTAATATCATGGACTGTGTCAGTAATAAAATTCAATGACAAAACTAAGATTTACTCAACACAATAAAATGAGCTTGTTTTCTCCACAAAGCAAAACAACAAACTTAACTTGATTACATTTTTTTAAACAATTAAAACAAATGACTATAAATTTGAATACCAACGCCGCAGCAAACCTGCCGACTAAGCGAATTTCCATTTGTCTGAATCGATTTTCAATTAAATCTATTGAAATAGTATTAGGTTTAAAGAGTACCTAGGTTTGCTGCTACAAGAAAACTGATAAAGTGTGTTTCTTGGTAAAATATTAATAGTTTAGTTTAAAATAAATAAATTTGCCAAGTTTGATAAAAATATATCCATAAACAAGCAAACTACAACATTTTACAATATTCTCCATAAAAATAACATGGGAATTTTTAATTTACAATTTTTTAATTTTCTACGTTACCAATAACCGTACAAAAACACTTTGATATACTAAATTATTTGTTTTATCCAGCTCTTTAAAGAGGTTTAGAGAGAAATTGGGAAGTTTTATGTTTTTTAAGGGTCAAAAATTAGTAAAACCAATTTTTACCCCACAAAACCCCGATCCCATGGTCAGATAATGCTGGTTCACGAACTCATTCAAGTTTATCTCACCTTACATCGGACAAAAATTACTCAAGTTATCGTGTTCACGGACACACACAATATATATACAGGGTGTCCCAAGTAAGGTGTCTCAAATTGATTACGGAAAAACGGCTTAACGTACAAGGATGAAATAAAATTATTTCCCACTAAATCGACCCCAAGGATTAACGTAAAAATATTTTTAACTTTTTCCCGATACAGGGTGTGCCAAAAACTGAGGGTCACTAGTTTGAATCTCGGAATTTTCAAATGTAAGCATATGTCAATGTTATACATCATTTTAGAGGTATTTAGTAGACAAACAGTTTAGCCAAAACAGAAATCATTTATAATTTTCCGTTTCAAATAGCAGCAGTTTATTGGGAAAAATCAATATTTTTTAATACTCTGTGTTTCCTATACCAATGCACTTAGCCCTTCTCCGGTTGAATTTTCTTACTCGTTATGAAATTAGCTTTACTGTGATACCCTATCCTGCAAGTAAAGTTTTTTTTTTTATAATAAAAATCCCAAAAATTTTATTTTAGAAAATTTGAAAATGCCCATTTTTCAAAATGTTTAAATAGCAACATGTCACACCATACATACCACACATGAAATAGCACATCATTCTATGGGTTTTTAATTCTTAACAACTTTATGATTTAAACTTACTTCGTATCTCTTTTAGTTTTTGTGTAAACAACAAAAAAACCTAATTTTCCTATATGAAATGCATGTTATGTGGGTTTAACACTAAATTAAATCGGGCCATTAGTGGCGCAGAAATCTATGCTAGTAACCTAGTTACCGGGTCTGCTGGTTGTGGTAGCTCTACCAACTGGGTATTTCCTTTTACCCAGTAATAATATTTTACTAAATACCCCCGCCGCAGCAAACCTGCAGACTAAGCGAATTTCCATTTGACTGATTGGATTTACACTGAAATGTCTACTTAAAAATATAACATTTATTCCCTATTTAAATAGAATTAGTTTAACAAGTACTTAGGTTTGCTGCATCAGGGAGGGTAAAACAGTTTTTTTTGTAAAATGTTAAAATATAGTAAGAAATAAAAAAATTTCCTAATTTGATCAAAATATGTTCATAAGCAAGCAAACTACAACAGTTTACTTATTCTCCATAAGAATAACATGGAAATTTTAAATTTACAATTTTTTGGAATTTTCTCCGTAACCATTAGGCGCATAATAACGCTTCAATATACTAAATTATTTGTTTTTTTAAGCTCTACAAAATGGTTTGGAAAGAAATTGCTAAATTTTATGTTTTTTGGGTCAAAAATGGGAAAAACCTATTTTTACCCCATAAAACCCCCGGTAAACCCCCGTTCCCATGGTCCGATCATGCTGGATCGCGAACTCGTTCGAATAAACGTAGGTTTACACGTTTGTACCAAATTTCATCAAAATCGGATCATTTTTGCTCAAGTTATCGTGCTAACGGACACATATCTATCTAATATATAAAATTCTCGTGTCACAGTGTTTGTCTGCAAACTCCTCCGGAACGACTTCACCGATCGTTATGAAATTTGGTGTGTAAATTCTGTAGGTATGCGAATCGGACGTAAACTATTTCCCGTTTCGAAATTATTAAAAGGGCTCCGCCCCAGTGGCTCTGGAGTTTCCCATGTTAACCTTATGAGAAATGGAATTAATGAATCTTTAACAGCTGTTTCAATTAAACAAGTTGGTTCTGTTCTATGATGTTCAATAGCATTAAAGTTACAAGGATTACCAACAGGGTGCAGCACTATTATTTCTTTTACATTTATGACAACAGCTAATTTGCAACCAAAAGGTGAGTGAGCGTAGCGAACGAAATTCAACCTGGAGGCGAGTGAGCGTAGCGAACGAGCTCCAACCCAAAGGTGAGTGACCGTAGCGAACGAACTTCAACCAGGACGTGATTGAGCGATGCGAACGAGAGAGGCGAGTGAGCGTAGCGAACGAGCTAACCTGAAGGCAAGTGAGCGCAGCGAACGGGCTCCAACCTAAAGGTGAGTGAGCGTAGCGAACGAGCTCCAACCCAAAGGTGAGTGAGCGTAGCGAACGAACTTCAACCAGGGCGTGATTGAGCTATGCGAACGAGATCATCTTGAAAATTAAACGTAACGGTACTTTCTTTCCATCGGTCTGTCTTAGGGGAAACCTATAACTTAGGCGATACGAAGTTCGCCGGGTCAGCTAGTCCATATATATAAAAGGCAAAGCCCTCACTGACTCACTGACTGACTGACTCACTCACTCACTCATCACTAATTCTCCCACTTCCCATTTACCTAGGAGGCTGAAATTTGGTACACTGATTCTTTATGCATTAAATAGAAAAACTAAGTAGTTTTTATTCTGATCGGACTCTCGGGCTCCGCCCCAGTGGCTCTGGAGTTTCCCATGTTAACCTTATGATTCTTCATATTTAAAAGGAATTAATAAATCTTAACAGCTGTTTCAATTAAACAAGTTGGTTTTATTCTATGATGTTCAATAGCATTAAAGTTGCAAGGATTACCAACAGGATGCAGCACTATTATTTTTTAAATTTATGGCAACAGCTAATTTGCAACCAAAAGGTGAGTGAGCGTAGCGAACGAACTTCAACCTGGAGGCGGGTTAGCGTAGCGAACGAGCCAACCTGAAGGTAAGTGAGCGCAGCGAACGAGCTCCAACCTAAAGGTGAGTGAGCGTAGCGAACGAACTTCAACCAGGACGTGATTGAGCCATGCGATACTTATGAAGTTAAACGGGGCAAAGCCAGCTATACAGCTAGTATATATATATACAGCTAGTATATATATATGAATTTGAACGGATGGTGTTTTTGGCCTCTAGGGACCTCAAAACGAAAAAAAAAATCGGTCCCGCGTCCAGATCTTACCATGAGTACTACGGTAATAGCTTACTCCCTATATGGGAAATTCGCTAAAACACTTTATTTCCCTCCCTGTAGCAGCAAATCTAGATACTTGTTAAATCTAATGTTATTAAAATAGATTTAATTGAAAATTCCAATCAGGGAAATGAAAATTATCTTAGTGGTATTAATATTATCTGTAGGTTTTTTTAACACTAACCAAGTAAAAAAGTGTTGCATTTGGGTATTGATATTTGAGATTTGATTGTATAAGTTTGGGTTTCGGCATTGACTATTGGATGCAGAAGTAGACATCCCATCTATATGGACAAGCTGTTGCCAGTTTTTTATTAAAAAAGAACATAGTTGTGTGAGCCGGGCACAGAATGCGCTAGTGTCTGAATTTCTATTTTATACCTTATTTTTGGTTGCTGACCAGGTTGATGGGTCATAACAGTTGCTATAGCTCACCATAAGTCATTCCCTAAGGTTGACTTGGTAAAAAAGTTTGTGTATGCCACAGAATTTAGCAATTTAGATCAGCGCAATCTGTAGGTGGCTCATATCAACTGCAACAGTTTTGATAAAAAAAGCTGGCTACAAATTTAACTTGGGGATTAAATGTCTGTTTCGGTTTCAAGATTCAAAATTTCTAGTTTTTCATCAATTTCATCACTAACTTTTAGTACCGTAGTTAACCATCAGTTTTTGGATACTTTCTGGAGGACTTTAAAATAGTCAATTTGTCGAAGACTGCTCATGTATATGTTGTTCACAGGTAGTGAAGCAGCCTTGTTCATGAGACTACATCTGCTACAGGGAGTGGTGGCATTTCATCAAAACAAACGTTCCCAAGCACGAGCACTGCTTGAACGCGCTCAACATGAACTTAATGGACTGAAAGTGAATGATGAAAGTATATGCCTTCTACTTGAACTTGGTAATGATTACTCTGGACATCAGGAGTGGGGAATGTATGATTGATGTATGATTAGCTTACACACTAACACACTGGAACACATAGTTAAAGGTGGAAATAACGGGGTAGCGGATTTTTATCCCCCTGGAATTTTGCCCCCTGGGCAAACGTGACGTCACAAACCAGGGGGTAAGATTCCGGCCGCGAACTTTTGAGCTTCGCGACATCAGCTCGATGGATTAAACGCTGAATTAAACATATATTTTCACGGTTGTGAATTTAATCAGAACACATCAAATTATAAAAACCTAAAGTGTACGACACAGATTTTTACCCCCCGGAATTTTACCCCCTGGCCAGATATATAAATTAGTGAGAGTGATTAATTATCTTCATTCTGTTTTAATTTAAAGTAAACATTTTATTATTAAGTAGCCTACTGTATATTAATTTATTTGTAACATTAACTAATCGAACAAGTTTTTAATTTTAATTTAGAGATTCTAGTATTAGGATTCGATTTTTGAAGCCAACAGTTGGTTAATATGACGTATAAACAATCAACTTAATGATAATTGTTTCGAACATTATTACAAAATAAATAAATAAAGATAGGCTACTAAATAATGAAATGTTTACAATAAATTAAAAACAGAAATAAGAAAATAAAAAAAAATAAAAAAAAGAAAGGTTGGCCATATCCTAAGGAGAAAGGAGGAGAGTCTACTGAAGATAGCACTCAGAGGAAATCCGAGGGGAAGAAGACCAATAGGTAGACCGAAAGCCAGGTGGTGGGGTCAAGTACGAAAAGATTTGGAAAGGATGAGGCTTGTAGAGGAAGATGCATGGGACCGAGACTATTGGCGACAGCGTGTTGGCGAGGCCAAGTACCAGCTAGGGTACAAGTGGCCATGGCAGTAAGCAGTAAGTAATAAGAAAATCAATAATTAAATTTCTAAAATCGGCCAGGGGGTAAAATTCCAGGGGGTAAAATTCTGGGGGTAAAAATCCGGCCTGTACATCTTTAGTTGTCTAAACGCTAGTTATATGGACAGGGGGTAAAATTCCGGGGGGGTAAAATTCCGGGGGTAAAATTCTGGGGGTAAAAATCCGGCCTGTACATCTTTAGTTGTCTAAACGCTAGTTATATGGACAGGGGGTAAAATTCCGGTTTTTATCGCTAATCTAATTAATAAAGCTCTGGCTATTTTCATTAGACTTCCAAATCCGCGGGGGTAAAATTCCGGCCGCGAACAAACTTTTGGCCACTCAGGTTCCTACGTCATAGTGACGTCAGCTTTGCCCAGGGGGTAAAATTCCAGGGGGATAAAATTCCGGCGACCCGAGATAACCATAGACATAACTCCTTATTTATTTTTAGGGGTCTGGAGTACAGAAAATTTAAGGTTGGTACGGTTGGTTACAATACAATATTTTGTACTTCGGTTCTCAGTAAAAAATCGGTATGGTATACAGCTACCAGTACTTTTGCCGTTTTCTTCTCAGAATTGTATATAAACCATTATTTTAAATTTTAATACATTGACATTACTATGTAAATTGATGGTATCCTACATTTATGGTTTTCTTACAACAATTAATTACTGTACCACATATTAGATAAAGAAAGAAACACAGTTAAGATAAGGACTACCTATTTTACTACTAAGGCTACGGCCACACTTGGCGACTTTGAATAAAGTCAAAGTCGCGGCGACAATGAATGAAACTGCGTTGCATTAAATTAAATGGAGGTGGCCACACTAAGCAACTCGCGACCAGGACACACAGGCGACAGAAAAATAAATGAAACCGGGAGCGTTTTTTGGTCGCGGCGACAAATACGCTCCCCATGTTATATTACGACCCCAGCCACTCTAGGCGACAAGTCACTCGCTCACAAACCCATTACTTCTCATTTTTCATATCTATATTGTTGTTTGGATTTGCAATTGTTAAATATGGAAAATATCCCTTTGAGTGCCGCAGCGTCTCGCTCCGAGACGCACCATTGTCGTAGCTTGAGTGCCGAGCGTCTCGTAGATAGACGGTCGAGATTGCGTGAGAAATGCCGGCGTTTTATTGAAATCACTTCATACAGTACCTATCACATTTCAATAAAGCTGGCTGCAAATCACACAAAATGTGACAGAAGGAGGGTTGGCAACAACTATTTTGCTTTATTATTGTACAATTGAACTTAAAAATATGGTCAACCAATCAAAAACCATTACGCAATAGTAGACGGCTTTACACAGCTGTTTCGTCTGTGTTGTTCTGACTGTTCTAGTAAATGTTTGTATACGAGTTGTTTTGGTTATAGAATTGCAGTTTATGGTCATGAATCGTTGAAAAATAAATTTTAAACCTTTAAAAAGTTATAATACTGTTATGTATCTTGCCATCCTATATATTAAAACGAAACAGGATTTTTTTATTTCACAATTCTGTATCAACCACTAGACGGATTTTTATGATTTTTGTGTTGAAGTTGAAAGAAAGATAAATTTGAGAACTAGGGAATGTCGAAGCCATCATTTTAGTTTAGGGTTTCAGTTTTTTAGAAATTAAGTTTTAATTTTCAAAAAGTCTAGCAGCCGACGGACGAGTTTAAGTCGTTTTAGTGGTGGTTTAACTAACAGCTGGTTTCTAACTGTCATTGAAATGTTTATGTTACAAGTTGTTTGTATACAAAAATATTGATCGTCAGAGTTTGCCTACACACTATTTTACTTTAAAATGCAGTTTATTTTCTACCGTAAAAGATCTATGTTATCAGGAGATTGTGTAATTTTGAACTAAACATTTTAAACGTATAATCAAGTTTTGTCATAAATGCAATCCGTTTAAGTATAAGTGCTTAATCCTTTAAGATATAAGTGGTTTACGTGTTAATACATCTTTTTCTAGATGTTTGAATATAAGTATGACTGCACACAGTAAACATTTTATTCATAATGAAAATGTCAACCGGTGTATAGGTCTCCAGAAAACTGACCAGCAAGCTGCAGGGTGTCAGTAGAAACCAAAATCGATTCATACCATAGCATAACCATCCCAGTAGTACTGTATGATTCAGAAACTTGATAAAGGGGTACATTCCAAAAGTAGACCAAAAGGCTCGGATCTCGGATGGGCTGGGCAGGCTTTGCATGGCGGAGAGAAGATACTTCAACTTTTAAAATTGTATTACAAGGAGTACTACAAGGTAGATGACCACTTGGAAGACCAAGTAATAAAAGACATCTTCAGACTGGTATCTTCCTGTCTTCCTGTCATCCAGAAATGGCAGGGGATAGAAGAGAACGGGAGGCCAGGATCATTTAAGAGGTTTCAGTGGCCAAGTTGGTAAAATAAGGTACGGTAAGTGATAGTAGGCCTATGCAGTGAAAGGTGGTATGTAGCTACTGTACTCAAAGCCAGTGTGTGTGAATCGGCCACCAAGTTGTAAACTAGCTGTTCTGAATGAAATTCAGTTTAATTGACTACTCGATTCCCGTACGTAGGACGGGCCAACAGCTCGTAACTATAATAATTATTCATTGGGAAATGGGAGCTTGAAAATAAGATGCTCAGTCATTGGAGGCTAACATGAAAGAGGGTTTATTCCTGTTCTCTATGCTAGGACAAGTAGTAGGCTATTCATGACATAGAGTACAATATTGTAAGACACAATACAAATGTGTATATATATATATCTATATCTATCTATCTATATCTATCTATCTATACTATTATAAAGAAGAGGTGGTGTCTGTGTGTGTGTTTGTATGAGCTAATCTCAAAAACTACTGGTCGGATCGGGCTGAAATTTGGCATGATGATAGCTCACATTCCCGATTAACATATAGGCATATTTTTATCCCAAAAAATCCTTCGGGGCTCCGCCCCAGTGGCTCTGGAGTTTCCCATGTTAACCTTATGAGAAATGGAATTAATGAATCTTAACAGCTGTTTCAATTAAACAAGTTGGTTATGTTCTATGATGTTCAATAGCATTAAAAGTTACAAGGATTACCAACAGGGTGCAGCACTAGCACTATTATTTCTTTTACATTTATGACAACAGCAAAAGGTGAGTGAGCGTAGCGAACGAACTTCAACCTGGAGGCGAGTGAGCGTAGCGAACGAGCTAACCTGAAGGCAAGTGAGCGTAGCGAACGAGCTAACCTGAAGGAAAGTGAGCGCAGCGAACGAGCTCCAACCTAAAGGTGAGTGAGCGTAGCGAACGAACTTCAAAAAGAACCGAAATTTCTTAAACCATCTCCTCACTCATAACTGCTATAAGCATTTGATACTTATATGCCAACCCCGTACGAAGGACGGGTACTCTGCTAGTATATATATATAACATTACTCTCTCCTAAAAAGAAAAACCATTACTTTTATAGAACAAATAATTCCTCCCTCTAAAACAAAAATTATTACAAACTTTAAAATTACATAAAAAGAACAATTTCACTTGAATTTAAACAGTACAGAGAATAAAAGTTGTCTTTAGAACTAACCCAGCCTAATTTAAAAAAGCCTCAACATTTTAAAAACATTTACACTTTTTTTTGTGAACATTTTTTTTACAAATTAAAATTTACATTTCTTACAACCCTTTAATTCAACAAACTAAGAAATTGTACCCAAAATGGAAAGTAAATTAAAATAACAGTATAGGCATAAACACAGTAACTTAAGGCTAACATAAAAAATAAATAGGCCTAGTTTAACTAGGCATTTAACTATTAGACATTTTAAATGTCATAAAAAAAATGAAATATCATTGGACAAACAAAACATAGGTAGGTGAACATTGGGTTTGTTTACAAATCAAAAGGTTTCTTAGGCACTCTTGTTCTCAAGGGATACTGTATCGCCTTTTGGGAGTAGAACTTAAAGGACTACTATCGCTGGAAATTATAGGTGGCAGATTGGTTAGGACTGACAGCACGATTGAACATAGGACTTTTTGGACTGGCGCAAACAGGAGTGTTTGGTTTAGGCGAGGAAGGGCTTAGCATCAGACTTCGCCTATATACAGGTCTACTCACATCTTCACTTGGAAACTAGGCCTCAGGCCTAACAGACTCCTTTGACCTTGAAGTCACAACATCATTTGACACTTGGTTTTTAAGTGGCAACATTTGATTGCAATGTCGTTTCCAGGCTACATCAGAATTACATAACTTAACTAAATAAGAAACAGGACTAAGACACTTGACAATTTTTGAACTTTTGCCTTTACCCAATTTGAGGACTGAGAAGTGCGGTAGTCTTTTACCAACACAACTTGATTTGATTTTCAACAAACAGAATATTTCTACCTTTAACATTTTCAGAAAACCCTGATGAGTTTCTTTGAACAAATCTATCAGGTCGCAACAAATAAAACCTGGTCCTCAACTTCCTACCAAACATAAGTTCTGCTGGTGACTTACAAGTTGAACAATGGGTTGAGTTTCTATAGTCAAACAAAAATTTTAAAATAGCCAAGTTAACATCATTACCTTGCTTTAAAGCAATCTTTCCACTTTTCTTTATAGTTCGGACTGCACGTTACGCTGCTCCATTTGTCGCAGGGTGGAACAGTGCTGTAAGACAATGATTAACTCCATTCAGTTTGAGAAAAGAGGCAAACTCGTGAGAAGTCCACGTAGGACCGTTATCTGTTACAGCAGAGTGCGGTAAACCGTATCATGCAAAAATCTGTCTCAACTGATAGATGACAGAAACAGCAGTGATTGAGCGCATGGGAACGACTTCAATAAATTTGGAATAAGCGTCAATCACTATCAAATACATCTGATTATTAATAGGTCCAAAGAAAGCCATTTGGATACGCTCCCATGGACCATGAGGAACGTTCCAGTTACACACCGTCATTTTTGGGGGGGTCCTTTTTTTGATCTAAGCATAACTCGCTCGAGTTTGCGATTTCTTCAATACACTCATCTAACTTAGGCCACCAAAAGGTTGACCTGGCAACAGACTTCATTTTAACCATTCCTAGATGAGTAGTACAATGCAATTCACTTAACAAACTTATTCTCAGACTGGTAGGTATTACCACACGGTAACCCCAAAGCACACAATTAATTGTTTTCAACGTTCAATTCTGATCTTTTCAAAAAGAAAGGTCTTAGATCACTAGACATACCTGAATCATTTGGCCACCCATGAAGTGTATAATCCAACACTTTACTTAACACAGGATCCTTTGCTGTTTCCTTATTAACAACTTTAGAGGATATAGGAAAACAGGTAGTTTGTATAAACTTAAAAAAATCTAAATGATCAACAATTTCATCATTGTTAGAACACTTGATTGGCAACCTAGACAGAAAATCAGCATTATAATGTTTAGATGATTTTACATATTCAATATCAAAATCAAAAGCACTCAAAAAATGAGCCCATCTTTACAGCCTATTTGCTTTGCTGCCATCTGAGGGATGCCTTTCTTTTTACCAAAAATGGTCAACAAGGGCCATGGGGGGGGGGGGTGATCAGTCAACAAAGTGAAATGACGTGAATAAAGATACGCTAAGACGATTGCCAAAGACTCTTTCTGTATCTGGGAATAACCTATCTCACTCTTGGAAAGCACACGAGAAGCATATGCTATCGGTCGCTCTGAACCATCAGGAAAAACACTTGAGAGAACACACCCAAGACCATAGCTTGACGCATCACAAGCTAACCGTAAAGGCAAACTTGAATCGTAATGTGCCAAACATGGGGCTCGAATGCATCATTGCACTCTCTTGACCAACACCATTTGACATCTTTTGGTCAAACTGGTCCCGCAAGGTAATGTCCCGATTTTCAAAATCACAATCAACTGCTGCTCGTTTTAAACATAGGACAAAATAAGAGATACTTTGAGAACCACCTTAAGTTATTTTATGAAACTTGTAGCGTTCTGAGAGAACTGATGGTTTAAGGTTTAAATGATTTTTTATTAAGGCAACAAGTTCAGAATACGATTTAGAATCTGGTTTATCGTGTTGACACATGTTTCTGAGCATATCACAGCACTTTTGTCCGATAAACATAAGTAAAAAATGTTTCTTCTTAGCATCAATATCATTAATTACAAAAAATTGCTCTATACGTTCAATATAACTTTCCCAAGATGTTTCTTCTTCGTTAAAAGGTTTAATTGAGCCTAAATACGGTGCCCTGAAGGTACTTACGGCGGCTTGCGTACCTGAAGATCCACCTCCATTACCTCCTTTTCCTTCATTTCCCGTCATATTTCAATCACTTTACAAACAATTACTGCACTGTGCATTATTTTAAAACGTTAAAAGCAACCTCCTCGCCATTTCTGTTATGTATCTTGCCATAACTATAATAATTATTCATTGGGAAATGGGAGCTTGAAAATAAGATGCTCAGTCATTGGAGGCTAACATGAAAGAAGGTTTATTCCTGTTCTCTATGCTAGGACAAGTAGTACATAACATAGGACAAGTAGTAGGCTATTCATGAGATAGAGTACAATATTCTAAGACATAATACAAATGTGTATATATAACAAATACCACAACTTATTTGTGTGATTTGGTGATAGTTTGTGGCTAACCACATAAAGTGTACCCCTAACTGGACTTGGTAACTTAGGCCTATAGGTGCATGATTTTATTTTGACCATTTGTATATTTTGTTTATGGCTTCTAATTGTAATTTGAATTATAAACATAATAATAACAACATAAAATACAGTCAAATGTAAAATGATATAGTTTGATTGAATGATATAGAACATGATTTAGGTTGTTTGTTGGTAGGGCCTAGAATTTTTCAAGACCTCTTGGTGGTAAATGTTACATATTTTTTTAGACATCTATATATTTAATACGCTAGGCATATTTTTGTCATATTGTTTTGGAATGGTGGTGCTACCGATAACCATGTCCATGTCAAGTTAGAAAGATCGTCGATACGACTCCGCGGTCACGGCGCGATTGTCGAAATGACTTCGCCTCCTGCGTTCGCGGAACTATCGTGAACATCTCTCATGTTAGCGGCGTCATCGTCACTCGCGAAGCGGCAAAATCGCCGACAATCAGATCAAATCCTGTCCTGAAAATCGGGAATATTTTTTCCCTGAAAATTTCCCGAAATTTCGGGACCTGTCCATCCCTAGTTTATCAAGATAAAAACACTGAAGTATCCCATAAATACAATACAAGGTGGAAAAATCTTACTGTAAAAAGTCATCATCGGCTGAAACTTACAAAAATGAAGCCTTCGTATATCGGCAATTTATTCATAAGAAGTTTGCCTGCCTTACTAAAAAAAAAGATCAAAACAAACCCAATTTTTTTAAGAAATTAAAATCATTCTTAATTAATCTGGCTCTCTATAGTCTAGATGAGTTTCTAAATCAAAAATAAATTAGCTATCCATTCTAAAATAATTGTCAAATTGTATGGTTAAGTGTTTTAGATTAAATTGTATAACCAATTTTGTACGCTTTGACACTATTCATGCATGTAAAATGTATAAAGTGAATAAAGATAATTTATTTGATTTGATTTACAATGTAAATAAGTCCAACAATTGATTGTCTATCAGGTTATTCAAGTTCTGAAGCTTTCATCGCATTAAGGTCAACACAGGGTAACGTAGAACTGGCTGAAGAGTTCATCAATCAGAGGCGCACTGAGAGGAAGAATGCTCGAGAGAGAAACCGCTTGAAACTCCAAAATGAAAGGTCAGTTACTGTTTAGTGAGGGGTTTTCAACTGTTCAATTTAAAACTAAGAACATTAGTAAATAATAACTAACCCACAATGAGTGTACATTTAGCCCTTTTTGACTTATTGAAAGGTTGGATGTAAAAATTCTGTAATGTATTGTTATTTAACTCATTTATGCCAAATAAAATAAACGTACAAAATGTATCTTAGTTATGAATAAGAAAATGAACTCCACATTGTCAAAGACTAAATAAATTACATGCCCCCAAAAAATTCACAATCATATAGCATTGAATTCTTTTAACAGGGCAAGTACCTACATTGTAACTAAGGGTCTCAATCCCAGGATCCCGGTCGGTTTTCGATACCCACAAATCCTGTGATTAGAATCTTAATCCCGGGCTATTTCATCGAACAGCAATATTTGTGGTAGGAAGATTAGGTTTATGAATTCTTGAGCTATGAATTATCTTTAGTTCTAAACCGCGTTAACCCTAAAGCATAACATTCTAATTAGTTTTCATTAAAACAACAATCATTACTTTAAAACTACATTACATTACTCACAATTTAAGACCAAAATGGTGATTATAGGCCTAACACATTGATATTAAATTTTGTCAAGTTTTATAAAAGAACCATAATAAGAAATAAAGTAATTTATTTCATCTCAAGAACAGATTGTGTTATACACCTTCTTTTATGGAAATAAATCTACAGTATCTATCTACATAAACACACACGTACATTGTTACAATAAATGGTTCTCGGGGATAGAACACAGGCCTGTGACGAACGGTATTTATTTCATTTTATTGCCGCGGGAGCCGGTTGGAGTAAACTTAGGCTTAGGGCGACTGTGTCTGTGATTAGATGATCCTTGTACCTTTGGACATGGACTCGTCCTGTGGAGGCATCAGTTGATGATTGACTTGTATGACTACTTGAAACGTTTGCATGTGTGAACTGTAATTTAGTTTTTCATTCAATTGAGGTAAGGGTAATGGTGAAAATCAATGTGTGAAGAAGTGCTTTAATTCTTCATCCGATTGCTTCAGAACGCATAGCCTGTGAAACAGTGTGACGGGGTCAATAGTCACCTTTATATTGCCAACAGTCATGGTATTAACATCAGAAGAAAGAGATACTACTTTATTCTTCCTTGTGTATCTGATTTATTCATATTTTTCTCATAAAACTCTCAACATCACTTCTTTGCCAATATATCTAGCCATATGACAGTTGACAGTTTCCTTCCAACAAGTCAACTGCTTAAGAACATTATAACATCAGTATTAGGGAATGGAGGGTGACGAAGTAACCAGTCACACAGCTTCCCTGTATTCGCTTCAACTCGAGTGACTCGTGAGGGTCTCATTTCTACATGCTACTCAGTTGTATGTGCCTTAACATTACAGTAGGCCTACTCCTCAACCTCAGCACTTAAATTCTACAGATAAATTATATCATTCCTACTGTCCATCAGGTGAGCACGGTGTCAGTTATACCACGGTCCCGAGTCAAACCTACATAGCTTTTCATTAGGCAAATAAACACCTGCTCTATAGTCATGTCCGTCCAAACACCCGTCTAGAACTTTTCAGAACGCACAATGGCGATAAAGAACCCGTTGGTGGTAAATAACTGGTGTTTATTGAAATCCATCTTGTTTCCTAATTTAAACATATCCTGCAGGTACAGATGCGAAAACTTGGCATAAAAGAAGTAATATATAGCATGGCAGAACGACAGCAAAGTTAAAACTTGTTTTCACTGTTGCCTCTTCATTCTTTATATCAATTCCTCTTGATAGTATAAACATTTTAATTACAATAGATTTCTTCCATACAAAAATAGAAAAAAACGTATAATATGTTGTTGAAATGAAATAAATTTGTTTATATTCTTATTATGGTTCTTATATAAAATTTGACCAAATTGGATAACTTGAATCTTAAAGTACAAACCTTTATGGAAGGTTTTATAAACCTTGAAGAGGCATATCTCTCAATGTGTTAGGCTTATAATCACTATTTTGGTCTTAAATTGTGAGTAATTTAATGTAGTTTTAAAGTAATTATGGTTGTTTTAATGAAAAATAATAATAAAGTTATGCTTTAAAGCCAAACTTTAAACAAATTCAAAATTTGGTCATTTTAGCCGTTGTTTGCGGAGTCATATCTTGAAAACTATTAGGCCTGTAATAGCCATTTAGGTCTTAAATGATAGGTAATTTATAGCTATTTACCTTACAAGTGTAGTAAGAGCGTTTTTACATCACGCAGGTGAAGGTTGTGCAACGAGCGGAAGCGAGTCGCATAATTTACCTAAGTGATGTAAACACGCTCTTGCGTAACGTGTAACGTACAAGATTTTACCTGACCCGACAATATACAGGAGGTTACGAACAATATTAATCATCATCCATTTCGACCATTTCACTCATCTTCTAACAGTAAACGTTCATTTACAAACAAAAGCTAGGTTAGGAAAATTCTTCAAAACATAACAATAAAATTCAAGAGCACAGCTGATTTCTAGCGTTGAACGTCGTTGGCTCCATAGAGGAATTTTTTAAGTTAATCACTCAATGTTATTTAAATGGGTTTCATTACATCACCGAGTGAGTTTTTGATACTTTACATCACTCGAGAAGTAAGGAAGTTGTATACATCACGCTTGGGATAGGGAAGTTTAACATGGCGGGTTAGGTAAATGTACTTTAAAAATGGTTGTGGTTGTTCTTTATGAAAAAGTGATGCTTCAGGGTCAAAACCGGACAAACGTTTTTTGGAGGTGATCCGGAAGGTCTCCGAGGTGGAAAATTTGGATTTAGCATCTCGGTACTATTATTAACAACATAAAAAAGAAACCCACTACCCCATTTCATGCAAGGTAGACCCTGATTTTTATAACAAGGTTACTGGGTTATATGTCAGTCAGTGACAAGCCATGTGGTAATTAATATGCCTTGTTTAGTTTTATTATGTACTCTTTATTGTTGGGGTCTCTTAGTGCACTTTATCTCTCCTTTGACAAATTTTAAAACTCATTATTTTTGTTTTAAAGTTTTAACTGACTTTTAACATTGATACTTTTTTTTATTGTAAAATGTAAATTATTAAAAACTATTATTATGTATGTTATGGCTAAGTTGTAACTGGACAACTGATAACCAGTTAAAAATGTTGATTTGTTTCTTGAAGGGAGCGCATAGCCCTCGGATTATGTGCCGACCAGAAGCAGTACTGTGAACCGGAGTTGGTAAAACAACTTGTAGCAATGGGGTTCGACCGTCGGAGGTCCATCTCAGCTCTAAAGCTGGCCAACAATGTATTAAGTGCAGCCATTGACATTCTGCAGTACCAGCCCCATCTTCTGCCCTCCTGCTCCACAACTGTCCCTGAGGAACTGGTAGCTCAGGTGGTCAGCTTAGGAGTACCAGCTGATAAGGCTCGAGAAGCTCTATTGAAAATGCCCCAACTGGAAGAAGCCATCAGAAAATTAAACAGTTTGATCAGAGGTGTGTTTTTCTGCTTTACAAAAATATTCAAATAAGGAGCTCAAGTTGATTTGTTTCTTATCTTAATCATCAAAACATGTGTCCTATCAGTAAAAAGTTATTCTTTTTTAAACAGGAACTGCAATAATTAGAGTTTTAGTATGATATCAAGACACCCTAAAATAATGTGAAAAACACATTTTTGGCTCACTCTAATAGCCTCCAATAGGTTACTTAATAAATAATAATCATATAAAACAGTTGAATCATATAAAGCAGTTGTATGCCGTTATCTAAAGTTGTCACCTAACAATATGAAGCCCCGACAATAATTACTCATTATTGCTGTTGATTAGAGATCAAATATCAAATAGTGTTTCAAGTTCACCTTAAGTTTCTGCATCCTTGGAATGAAACTTTGCATGTGCCTGGTCCTGGTTGGTACATGTCTTAGGATATTGTTCGATCTTGACATTGATTAAATGTATTAGGGAAGAACTGTCTTGAGAACAGTTTCCAATGATTATCACTGCTCTTTCTCATAATGGTGTTTGTACGTAGTGTTCTTTACACTGACCTTATTAATTATTCTACGGACTGAAAGTAGTTGTATTTCAACCATTTGCCACATACAATTCAAGCTTTATTGACTTATGAGGCTGTTTTTTCTGTGTATGAAATCAGCTAAAGTAAAAAAAAAATTAAACTATAACGAATTTGCATTCATAAATTTTAAAACATAAGCCTATGTAAAGAAAAAATAAAAAGAGATGCTCTTCTACTTTTATATATTTAAATAATATATTTAAATATATTTACTCCTTGCAATGCTCTCAAAGTGAATTCTTTACAAATCTTGGTTGCCCCTAGGTTGGAAGAACTTGGAAAATAATAATATAAGACAGAGCTTTGGCAGTGGAAGCTTGGCGTTAAAAAATATTTAAGTGGGCCCTGTAAAATAAATATTATCCCCAGAAGTCCTTATAAGACGTCCCTGGTACTGTTTGAAGTTCTTCCTGATTGAAATACCTTTAATATGAAGCTTAATAAACAATCTTAATCTACACTGAATTTAATCTGCTCACTTCCACACAAGTATTTAGTGTTGCACTTAAAAGGTGAATCTTTTGTAGTGGCCTATGATTTACTGAATTATACCTTTATTGCACTGGTAAATAATATTGCTAATAATGAATTACCAAGGTTATTGAGAACTAAAACGTGAGTAACAATTTGATTTATTACACAATACTTATGAATGATACATTTGATTTTGTATTGACAATTACTTATTTTGTTTGTGTGATACTGAATGACTTTGAGTGCTACAATCAATTTGAAGTCTTTTGTTTAAGAATGTAAAATGGACCTGTCAAAAGGGAAGTTACGGCGCGGTTACACACTGATCACGAACGTGTCAACAGAGGGGTGATATTTAATTTAACGTTTGAGATGACCAGTACCAAGCAAATCCTATTCGTTGGCCAACGAATTAAAAAATGAAGGTCGAGTCTCGTAGTCCAACTGATCAAACAATGTTGCGTTTAATCGTAGTAGTATGTAATAGAATATTGCTTATTATTTTATGGCTAATTAGGTACTTTGGCGGTTCATCTATTAACAAACTGTTACAACCTCCAATAACACTTCCGCATCTAGTCGAACCAGCTACCTACTCCCACTTTTGATATTATTTAAATTTTCCCCAAATAAAATACTGACTGTGGCACTCTTAAATTACCTCTGTTTGATACTTAGGCAAAATTAAACAATGACTGTTACTAATCTGTATAAGTAGAATAATTTGCAATTTACATTCACTATGAGTACAAAACCCTATACAATTTAATTTATCCTATATATTTAGAGAGTCACAATATAATAAACGATGCAGATTGATTTACAGTACAATAAATGGATATTAAAAATACTGATGGAAGCTGCAACCTGAGAACATGTGCTAGTATAACAGGAAATGACAAACTATAACAAGAAAATTGTACACATGTGCGACTCACTGAAACCTAATATATAACAATAAATAACACAAATTACTTACAAATTTCGGACGTCCACAAAAAACACTGACATAGATACAGGGATAGGAATGGGGAACTGTAACTAGACGGTTTTCCGAAAAACACGATCGATTTGATTTCGTGTGACGAACGTGAAATTTTCAAATGGCGGCTCGTGTTGGTCGGTAAAAACAAACTTTTGACACTTGTTTCGCAAAAAAACTGATTTTATTTTCCACTCGCGTTGCAATTATATCCCTTCGGGATATAGGCTAAACGATATTTATTCGACCAACACCGCGAAATGAATTTAATTTGCATGATACATGTTGTGAATAACTGAACCTTTTTAGAAAATAAGGCTTTAATAAACTTAAATTCTTACATAGCTGGAAAGGTAAACAAATCTCTAATACAAACAAGTAAATAAATACTTCAGCTGATTACTAGAGACAGGAATTCATAACATTCTCCCCCTCAAAATTTAAACAATGTAATCAGCGAGGTAACTTGGTGGTTTTCTTGATCTTTTCGGCCTTTCTATAGGTTGGTTTTCTTCAGAGTCTTGTTCAGGAATGAAGTTTGGTTGATTATCATCATTTGGATAATCATCATGGTCTTGAATATCAAATGGAGTGACATTCTGTTCTGGGTTCACATTTGGTTCTGGATTGATGTTCGGCTCTGGAATGACATGTGGTTGTGATTCATCTGTCACCAGTTGAGGATTATCTTTTAGCGTTGGAAGGCCTTGGTTTTCTAGTAGACTTACATCCCCCCTTGGAGATAGGTGCTTGAGGGATACAGTTGACTTTCTTCCATCATTGTGTTTAACCAAGGCATAATGAGGATTAGCATCCAACAGCTCGACTTCCTCAACTAAAGGATCAAATTTTGATGGTCGAACATTTCTTTTTAAGAATATCGGTCCTGGTTTCATGAGCCAAGCTGGTAGTGAGGTGCCATTGAGGGATCGCCGAGGATGAATGAAAAACCTTTCATGTGGTGTACTGTTAGTCGAAGTGCACAAAAGAGATCTTATGGAGTGCAATGCATCATTGAGTACAACTTCCCATTGTTCTACCTTTAGTGACCTGGACTTCAGAGCTAACAAGATTGCTTTCCACAATGTTCCATTGAACTTTTCAACTTGGCCATTTCCTGCTGGATTATATGGAGTTGTTTGACTGGTGGCTATTCCTCTTTCATGAAGGTAGTCTCTGAGTTCTTTTGAAAGAAAAGATGTCCCTCTGTCTGAATGAATGTAGTTTGGCATTCCAAATATTGAAAATAGATTTTCTAAACAGCGAACTACTGTGTTTGAGGACATATCACTGCATGGATATGCAAAAGGGAAGCGTGAATATTCATCGATTATTGTCAATAGATATCGATTTTGTGTGCAAGATGGCAAAGGACCCTTAAAATCTACATTAAGTCGCTCAAAAGGTTTTGTGGCCTTGATAAGGTGAGCATTTGTAGTTTTATAGAAACGAGGTTTAATCTCTGCACACATTGGGCATTTGTTTGTCATTGTTTTAACATCCTCAACCGAGTAAGGAAGGCTTTTACTTTTTACCCAGTGGTACATCCTAGTGATTCCAGGGTGGCAAAGTGACTGGTGAAGTGCAAAAAGCTTGTTATCACAATTTATGTTTGTGACAGCTCCACAAACGCGTGAAAATGCATCTGCGGTAACGTTTTCTTTACCTGGTCTGTACTGTATGTCAAAAGAATAAGGTGACAACTCAAGACGCCATCTAGTGATTTTCTCATTCTTTATTTTACTGCCGACTGTTGAACACAAACGACAAAGCCTGCTGATCGGTGATTAATAGAAAATGTCGCCCAATGAGGAAATGTCTCCACTTCTTTAGAGATTCGACTATGGCTAGGGCTTCCTTCTCAATAGACGAATGATGTTTTTCACAATCTGTCAATGTTTTTGAAAAGAAAGCGACAGGTCTACCCTTTTGACTTAACGTGGCAGCGATAGCGAAGTCTGATGCATCTGTTTCCACAACTAATGGAGAATTATCATCAATCAGAGGGACATCTTTTCCAAAATCTAGGTTCACTGAAGAATGCAGTTTTATTAAATCATGACCAACCAATATGTCAGTGCACAGATTGTCAATAACAAACAGTTGTACTCTCTCATAGTTATGGTCAGAGAACTCTAAGTTCACAGAAACATAACCTTTGATAGGTGACTTAAGGTTAGTGGAAGCCATAGATACCTGTTTCCGTTCTGGAATTACATGAAAACCATTTTCAATTACCACAGCTCGGTTTATAAAACTATCGGTACTTCCAGTATCAACCAAAACTTCAACAGGAATTTTATTCGCATAACCCCGCACAACTGCTTTTGACAGTCCATTGGAGGCAGCTGCACATGAAAGTGTGGTTACTACCAAAGAAGAGGCATTAAAGGTCTTACCTTGAGCTTTCATCAACCTGCATACCTTCACTAAATGTCCCCTTTTCTTACAACCAGAGCAAGTAGCATCTTTGGCAGGACAGTCGTTTCGAGTAAAATGACGCCGGCCACCGCAGTAGAAACACTTCTGTTTAAAGTTTTTCGCTACAGCTGCTGAAGTAGGAGACTCTTCAGGATCTATATTTTCATCCAGTTGATCTGGTAGTGTTGACGAAGTGTTGCAGTATGTAACTTCAATTTGGTTTGGAGATCTATATGCTTCACAGCTCTTCTGTGCAGACTCAAGTGAACGTGAAATGTCCTCAGCTTCTTTTAATGTCAAGGACGGGTTTTCTAGTAGTCTTTGTCGAATTTGGGGGTTCATAATTCCACTTATAAAGGCATCTCTAACGGCTTCATCTCGATAAGTATTTCCATCTATGGCACGAAAATTGCAATCCTTACTTAGAAGTTTAAGCTCTTGTAGATACTTGTCTATGTTTTCTTCTTTCTTCTGCTTACGGTTTGCTAGCATGTGTCGAGCATAAATTTCATTCTTCTTAGGATTATAAATAGTTTGC